CAGATGAACTCTTTTCATGCCATCCCTCAAGCAAGGAAGAGAGACGGATTTCATGTTCACTTGGACACCAATATGAGGGTGGTAGAAATGCAGATGTTGTTTTCCGGGGTGGTTATACCCAAACCCCTACCTTTGCTACCATCACAGCATCAGATGGGTGATGGGGTAGATTGAGGTATCTTTGTATGGAAGCAGGTGCTTGCAGCCCTACATCTCAGTGCAGGAGGTCTTCCCTGTAATACCTGGTCCTGGCATTGAGCAAGTTAGACCCCGTCTCAAGTTAAAGAGATGAGAGGAGAGCTCTTACTAGTGAGATGAAGAGTCCTTGCTCTTTCATTCATCCTTTCCTGCCTTTCGGCCCCTCTAGGGCACAGACAGGAGCTGGTTTAGCTTGTGGGGTTTACATCCCCCATCCTTCAATTGCTCCTTAAAATTGACATCTCCAGTGATGCTGTGGGCTCTCAGCTCAGCATCTGGCACTTTCTGCCCAGCCTGAGGCTGGATGTTGCTGGCAGTGAGCGGCAGTGGGTGAGCGATGCTGAGGACCTACTGCTCCCATGGATGTGGGTACCACTGCAGAGGCAGCACATGGCACTGCCCTCTTTGCCCGTGTATCGTCCCTCTGAAAAAGCTGCCTCTGGCCAGCATCACAAATGTGTGAATAGATCAGATGCCATTTTCTCCCTCAGACAGTGGCAATAAGTCTCTTTCCTTTGTGGGGACAATTAGTTTCTTTCTTTTGCGAAGAGTTTGGTTGGAATGAGCTGACCCCTCTTCATGGAAGGAGAGCCCTTGTCCCTTGTGTCCCTGGGAGAAGCCACAGCATGGACCGTTTATGGTTTTTCCTTTTAACACAGTGACTGCAGCTTTGTTTTCTGCATTTAGTTTGCATCTAAGACCAGGACATGGCTCATGCTGTGTCCCTGATCCAGTGTTTAAAGCTTTGCTGTGATTTAAGTTTGGCCTGGGCCCTGCAGGGTTTAGCTTAATTTTTAAAGCTCTCAATGTGAATAATTCCTCGCTGAATGCAGATCGCGAGAGGGGATATTGATTTAAAGCTTTCAAGCTGGTGGTTATGGATTAAAAGAAAAAAAAAGAGGAAGGAAGGAGATTTACTGTAGTCAGAGCTGGTTGCCCAAGTGTTAGTCCCTTACAAACAGGCTTTTGCTGAGCTAGGTGTGAGAGCAGTGAGGGAGCCCAGTGAATTTTATCTTTAAATTGCTGGCTGCTGAGAATCAGCTGTGGGATGCACTCGATTGCAATTCCTCACCTCAGGGGAGCGTTTGCTGTAACTCCTTGGCCTGGACTTTGTGTGGGTACAGATGTTGCTGTGGGGTTGCAGCAGTTCCCCAGGCGTGGGGGATCCGGAGGAGGGTGTGCTGGGTCGGGATGATGCTGCTGTACATCCACACACTGGAGTGTAGCTGGGGCAGCAAATGGGGAGCAATCAGCAGAACAGGGGTGTAGGGTCTCGGAAAGAAAATGACAGGAAAGGAAGCTTTGGTAGAGAAGATGCTACAGGAGACTGAGAGAATTAAAGTCAGGGAGTACGTCCAGTTAGCAGGCAGGGCTCTGAGGTCACTAATGCTGGTTATTTGGATTTCAAAGAGGATCCTATTAGCTCCTGTGGTGGAGAATCATTAATCAGTGGGGCAGGAGGCAGGAGCTCAGGCTGGCCAGAGAAATCAGTTTCCAATGTCCTTGATGTCCTGCCGGGCTGGCGCTGCAGAGCATCCTGCACAATGATGGGTTTGTCTGAGACGAGACGCTTCCAGCCAGAGGCACTGGATGGGATGGGTAATGCTGAGCCTGTGATCAGTGGAAGGCTACAAGGACGCCGTGTCCATGCTGACCTCTGTGCAAAATCCCATTGTGGTGCTGCTGCCCTGGAGGTGTTGCTGAGCTGCTCTTCTTAATGAGTGCAAAACCCAAGTTACTTACCTTTGGCAAACACCCTGTTAAAAGTTTCTTCTTGCTATCCCACAGACACTAAATGGAATTTGGAAGAGGATTTGGGGAAAAAACAGCGTTTCCAGGTGTGACTGTGATCCCTCAGAAACACAGCCTCTGGCCTGCCTTTTTGTTCCAGTCAGGTGTTCTCACATGTGCCCAGGAGCCATTTCCAAAGGAGCCTTTAAGCACAGGATCTGAAGTCACACTGAGAGTTGGACTTGCAGAGCAGCCTTGTTCTCCAAGCCTCGTTCTAGACCAGCTTTGAAAACCTCTGAAAGAAGCCTGTGACAGTTTGGAAGAGCCATTTGCCATAGAAAAATTCCATTAATAATGCAGAAGGAGACTTGTGAGTTGTCAGAGATGGGGTCAGAGGAGGGTTGCTTGGATAAAATTTAGATGTGGACATGGTAGTTGAATCTGGGACAAAATTGGTTTGGCAGCTTTTCCTCAAGAAAAGCGGACGAAACTTCCTTGCTTTCAGTGTTGAACTTTTTGCCAAAACCTGTTTATCTGGGATTTGATCTAACACTTCCTTTTCATTTAAATCCTCCAAATGTCATTAGGGGGAAGGTATTTACCAACAATTGTTATATACACACTCTTCTACATTTAGATTTAAATCCCTAGGGTGACCCATTCAGACTTTGTAGGGACTGATAAGCAAAGCTTTTAAAGAAAGGCCAATAAAAATGGTCTTGTGTACAAATAACGGCCATCACTCCAAGAAACTTGATTAAGATCAGCAAGATCAAGTCTCCGGCTGGACTGAGTATGCCTCAAATCCCCAATTGTCTGGCTTTTTGTCTGCCGGATGAATTTATAAGAAAAAGGAGAACCCAAGCCTGCTATTTCAGCACCGCTGGAATTCATGAGTAGATCTGGGTTTCAGAGACACCGCTGCCTTGTTTTGGCTAAGTCCTTAAAATGGAAAGCTGGAGATTAACATGGTAGGCCTGGGGTCATCTTGTTGCAGAATATATAGTCTCAGACACACAAGGTCTTTTTCTTCAGACATCCCTTCTGGTCGTGACGTTTGAGCCTTTGCTTTGCTCCCTGGCTAAGAGCAGCGTTAATCATAGGACTGGAATTCGTGACTTAACCGAAGAGGCGTTTTAATGCTTTTCCTGTCATCGATCAGCGGGCTGGAAGCCACTGTCTCGGTAGCGTTGTCACATTGACCTTTGTGATGGTGCTTGGTGGGTTCCCGTCCTCCTGAGTGCCTCCCAGCCCAGGAATGCCTTCCAGTGTGTCCGTCTTTTTCCTTTCGGAAGGGATGATCTGAACTTGGACCCCTGAAATGCAGAGAAGAGGCTTTTTGTGCAGGCTGCAAAGGGCTCTTCTGTGTGCAGCAGGGCACGGCAGAGAGACCTTCCTTCTCAATCTGTACTGCTAGAACAGAAAAAAAGCCCTTGCATCAGAACTTGCTATTTATATTTCTAGCTCTGAGACTCCTCAGCTGCATTATTAATGAAACGTTTACCAATTAAGATAGATGAGTCTGCTCTTGAGGGTGTTTGTTAAAGTAAGGTGCCTTATTACCATATCTGATAGATATAGTGCCAGGTGCTGATTAAAACCTTGCTGACTCCCCAGGGACAGAAGTCTTGAGGAAGTAAGGTGGGGAAAGTTGTCGTGTTTCCTGGCTTTGGCCGTGGAGGGAGCAGGAAGAGCTCAGCATCCCTCCCCAAAGGCCCATCCCAGACCTTGTGAGCAGCGTGAAACGGGCACGGGGAGGAAATTAATCAGCCTGGATCAGAAATTCCAATAGCTGGAGCAACGCAAGTGTGATTAATGCCTCCTGAACGCAAGAGGTGGAAGGATGCTAGTTCTGTGGCTCTTGCAAGGCTAGCAGTCTGTCAGACGAGGAATTAGTTTCCGATGTTGACCCTACGGGTTTTGGAGGTCTGGAATTGATGCGTGCCTGTGTTACAGTGTTTCGGCAGCTCACTAAATTAGGTTTGCAGGCAAAGCGATGCTGCGAGGTGCCGGCAGCCCACATATGAAACTAATTTCCCTTTGAAACAGCACTGAGGGCGACCAGAGGAGAAACGAGATCATCTTTAGGCCTCTCGTGGCCTACAGGAGTTGAGAAGTGTGTATTCACTTTCCATACTTATTATCATATGGGAAAGGAGCTATGTTGTAGGCTTTAATGATCCGCATGTGAAGAGCATCTTAAAATAGACTTCACATCTCTTGGAACATACATATGTGTTTATAATTTTATGGTTATAAAAATACATATTTACTGAATACATGGACTTTGTTTCTCCATCTGCTAAATATAGTCACGTATGAAAGTTATATAGAAAATGTAATTTTCCCTTAAATTATCCCGCTGTCAGTCTGCTTCAGTTTCAGCGTCGGCAGAGGCGAGGCGCGAGTTGAGATGGGTGCCGTTGCGCTGCCGAGCAGGTGTCTGGAAGCAGTTTGACTGAGGATGGGGATGACTGGAGGCGGGGTTGGTGGCACCAGCTATCATTAAGATTTGCCCAGCAGTTCACAAGATAAGACCCTGTTTTCAGTTTTGCTTGTAATTTTGTCAGGGTTTTAACCTCTCAATTTCCATGCTGGATGCCGACCTCAAACTGTTTTATTTTAGGGGGGAAGAAAAGGAGTGTAAGATGGTCCTGCCATTTTTGGAGAGCAGGCTTGCAGAAGAATGTTGGGTTTGCCCTGCTGAAGAAGTCTGAGGAGCTTTTCTTGGAGCTTGCTGTGAAGCTCAATGCGAGGGGAAGGGGGAGGAGGTGCCCATTTTGTGAGACATCTTTGCCATCCCTCTGCAAACGTGGCCAAACCAATGGAAAGTTGGAATTTGCATGTGCTCAGCAGAGACTTATTTGATTCCAGCATAATTACCCGAGTCCCTTCACAATGGACAAGGCTCCTTCCCACAGGGCTCCCTGGGGAAGCAAGGCTGGATGCCGGCCATCCTCAGCCAGTGACTCCCTATGTGCTAGCCTGGGGCAAGCTGCACCAGAGCAGGCTTTCCCTCTAATAGCTGCTTTGGGGAGCAGACACAGTGGGGAGCTTGTCCCTCATTGTGGCTAGGCAGGCAGGTGGGACTGGGGCTGGCAGGGAACATGGAAAAATAGAGATGCTCTTGGCAGAAAATGGGATAGTGACTGGAGGAGGGAGGTCTTGCAGGGCTGGAGGAAAACATGGGAGGGTGTTGTGCAACAGGGACACATCAGGGCAGTTTGTCTCACTCTAATATTTCCTAATTCTGCAGCTTGAGTCATGGCCCTTCGCCGGGTGCTGCCTCTCCAGCACGCAGTCCTTGCAGAGGTCTGCAGAAATGCTTGTGCCACGTTTGGGAGATCAGCAGATGGTTCCTCTAAAGACAGCCTGAAATGTGACTGTTGCTAAAATCAGTTTTTACAGTAACCGCAAGCACTTTGTGAAGAAAGGAGGGTTCCTCCTGCAAGCTCAGGCTCAAAAGTCACTTTAAATTAATAACTTCTCTAGCGTCTGCACTTGGGCCTGGCTGGAGAGCCTGGAGTCTGCCTCGTGACAAGTGTCATGACGCTGGTTTGTTTTTGTTCATTTCTGGAGTGTTTTGCTCAGAAGGAAGGAGCCAGGCAGCCAGCAGAGCAGTCCCCTGGGTAGGATCTGGGATGGGGGACTCCAGTGTTCCTGTTTCCACTCTGATGGGCTTGGAGCAGGAATTTGGAGAGCCCTGAGAGACCAGACATCAGCAGCGTGTCTCTGGACAAGAGGCTGTTGAAGAAGATGCTGTCTCTTTGGTGTTTATTCCTGTCTGCTCATCCGGGGCCCCGTCACTGATGGATGCGAGTGCTCTTGGTTCCCTTCTGCAGCAGAGTGTTCAGGTCAGTTGAGCTCTCTTGGACCTCCTGCTTCCCAACTCAGTGGTGTTTTACAGCAGCGTGGCAGGACGTGCTGCTGTCTGCAGTGATGTGGGAGGACACCACTGCAGATATGCTGAAGCTCCAGAAATGACCACAGTGACTCCAGCACACAAATAGAGGTTTCACATTTATACCCCTAAATGCCAAGGAGGAACCTGCTTCTTGGATTTGAACCAGTGCTGCATCCAGCTGCCAGGGCAGCAATTTATAGCCATGGGGAGTGCAAAGGCAGAAATATATCAACTGTAAACAGCGTTAGTGAGATTTCCTTTCAGAACTACAGTTTGCTACTGCAGGAGCATCATGGTAGAGAGCTGCCTGCATGCTGCCTTGTGTGTGCTGTGCTGGGGTTGGATGCTTGTAGGAGGGTCTGTGCTTGACACAAGTTTCTGTCTTGTGATTTACTGGGAGGCAGCAGGCGGCTCAGGTTTTGGGGAAAGGCCTGTGTGAAATGGGGCTGCCTGGTGGTCTTCCAGCTTTCCGCCTGGGGAGCTGGGTGACTGGCGTGCTTGCCCATGTTTTCAGGGAAGATTCCTTGTAAGCATTTGAGGAACATTTGCTCTTAATTCACAATCAAATTCTTTCTTCTGCTGTACAAAAATGCAACCAATGAAAATAGACAAGCTCCCTGGGTCATTTCCAGATGCCCTTAGTGAGGCAGAAGTGTTTATTTTTTATGGGCCAATTTTTGTAGTCTACCAGAACGTCTTGTACTGTCTAATGCCGCATGGAGCAATAGATCTGCAGAGTGTGTTTAATAAGAGCAATGTGCTCTCAGGGATACTCAAATCAGAGTTAGTTTCCTCACGTGTATGTGCTTTATATTGTGTGTTATAAAACATCTGGGTCCAAAACTGCAGTGAAGAAATCAAACGGCCAAGTCAACCTGAAAGTTGTACCAGGGCTCTGCCTGGAGAATCGCCGTGTTCAGCCTTCTCTTCTGCTGCAGGGACCCTGAGCAGATGGCCTGGCTTTTTTATATTCCTTTTCCTCCTCCTCCTCCTCAGGATCTGCAAGTCAGAAGCAAAAACCAGCTTTGAATTTTCAGCATGAGGAACTGCAAGTCAAAAAGGGTCTCTCTGGTCGCGGTTCCGTGGCTGTGTGGGAGGTGAAGAGCCCTTGGCTCTCCTATCTCTGCATCCTCCTGCTGCGGTTCTTGGCTTTGCCTCCCAGGTCTGGACCGCCGGTTGCTGGTGGTGCTGGAGCAGCGGGTGGCTGGCGTAGGAGGAGGTTGGTGGCAGCAGCTCCATTGCAGCATCCCAGCTGTCCTGCATGCCTCCAGCCCAGGAGCCTGCGTTTCAGAGGTGTGCAGTGTGATGCTGCCTTCTCTGCTCTGCTTCGGGGCTTCTTGTGCTGTCCATCTGTCTGTGGCCTGTTGGGGAGGTAGCTGAGCGTCCTGAGCCATGGTAGGTGTCTAGGGAAGAGCATACATGCAAGGAAAGCTTGCATAGATGCTTCCACAGAGTCCTTGCTGTGAGCTCCTGGACATAATCCTGGTAGGGCTTTTCCATCAGCCCCATGAGATATGGGGTTTTTCCTCAGAAGGACCCTTGTCTGCCCTCTCTGCTTTTCCTGGGTTCTCTGCATTTACCATGGGAAGGGAGAGTGATGGGACAGGCAATGGCTGAAGGACTGTGCTGCTCCAGTGGGTGTGCAGTTGTGGCATCACAAGCTGGGACATGGTCATTTGAATGAATTTGCTTCATTTGTTTGGCCTTAAACCCAATATTTCCCTTTGGGATGAGTGGGCAGGGGAATGGTCTTCAAGACTTAACCTTTCCAATAGGAAATCTGTTCAACAGTGACTTTGATCAATGGCTGCTGTCCTTTGGAAATGTCCCTGGCATCTCCAAGGCCCTGGCTGGTGTGACTCTGTTAGAAGACTTGGCTGCAGAGATGGAAGAGGGTTGTAAGCAGCTCCATCTCGCTGAAGGAGCTGGCAAAAAAGCTGCTGTCAGGGAGCTGTGGTGCTCTCTCTGTCTTTGCTACATCAAGGAAAGCAAGACCAAGAGCTCAGCTTTAAGGGTTTCTGAAGTTACTCTTTGCAGACTGGGGTAACGTCTCCCCCTTGGCTTGGAAAGGCAGCGGGTTGTGTTTTAGATGAAGCCTGTTCAGTGCTGCTGGCATTACACCATGTACAACAGGGAAAGCAGCTATCTCCCATTTTAAATAAGGATGGGAGATGCAGTGGAAATCAGCCCTGGAGCAGGCTGCTTGTTCTCAGCGTGGGTAGTTTGCCTGTGAAGCGTGTCAGCATGGGTGCGGGAGCCAGGAGGGACTGAAGGGCTTGTGTCCAATGCTCATACAGGGTTTTTTCCTTGGTGCCACACCAGTAATTTGAATGATATCTGAATTACTTGCTGTAACTTGTTTGTGGATGCTGGAAAGTAACGCTAAATCCTTCCCAATGTGGCTTTCTGAATGACCAAGTTGCAAGGATCTGGGACCCTTCTTCTGGTCACTTTTGCTCTGTACACTCTCAAGTTGTCTGTGCACGTGGGACAGTCTGTGTCCACAAAGACCTGAAAGGGTGTTTTATATTCTTGTATAAGCTGTGTGTGCTTCATGAGGATGCTGAGAGGAGCAAACTGAAAATGATGGGTTGACCAGAAAGTGCTTTTCTCCAGAATACGTCTGGGTTCCCACATCCCATGGTTGATGCACTAGAAACCTTCTCTGTGCTTGTACCTGCCAACCGTGCTTTCCCCTTTCAGCAGGAGGAGGAGATACATCAGGGTCCTGGTGGCCTGGTGGGGGAAGCAGAGGAACTTGCTGCTGAAACAGGTCCCCGTATCAGTACAGTGCAACTCCAGGCTACACTGCTTCAGTCTAAATAATGATATACAGGTGGCATGATGGACTGTACACTGTACCTCTCAACCATGCAGGTAGGTGTGTGGTGATGGAGATGGGTCTTTTCTCACGCATGCAGTGGATAGGGAGGAGTCCTCCTGACTCCTCTGAAGGTGCAAGTCTTGGTGTGGCTGCCCTGCCTGGGAAGTGAGCCCACCCTTCGGTCACATCCACTTGCCCTCACATCTGTATGGACTGGCTGCAGGAGTGAGGTGCTGCAGAGCATGGGCTGGTGTGCCAGCGAATGTCCCAGAAGGCTTTGTGCCCCTTCCAGAGGAGCTTTATGTTCACTGTAGCAAGAAACTGGGCAATACATCCCCTGCTTGACCTCGGGTCAGTTTTTGTACAGCTTTGGATCTGCGTGCTGAAGCTAAAATTATCAGTGTGGACAGAAATTGTATGGTTCACGGTGAGTCCGTGCTTTACCTTGCTGTGTAGGTGCAGTCAAGGGCTTTCTTCAGGAGCTGGATGGTTGAATAACACTTGAAGGAGAAAATATTTGGGCTGAGACCTGGTGCTGGGTCCCCTGTTCGGAACAAGCCTTGCAGTTGTCTTTAGTTTCTGTATGCCTGTCTGCAGAGCAAGAGTGATAATTAATGCAGGATTGCTCTCCTGGGTTCTGGCAAAGCCAATACTGATTTTCTGAAGTCAGCTCAGACAGACTGAGAGCGCAGTTTTAGTCAGGGCTGCGGGTCTTCATTTGGCTCCTGCTACTTTGATTGTCAAATTTCACTTGAAGCTTTTCAGTCAGCATTGAAAGTGAGAGCATCAATCTGAACTGGGGAAGTGCTGGACATCAGGTTATTACATGTTCCAGAAAATTTCCTCAGCCTGGCCTCGGAAGAGGAAGCTGGTCAGCATCAGATTTATGTATTTTTAATGCAGCTTTTCATTTTTTAACTTCTTTCAGGCAGGGTTTTTTCCTCTATAGATCTTTCTGCAGTGTTTTGCAACTGCACCAGTCATTCCTAACGAGCCAAACTTCAGCCTGCTCCTTAAAATACCCCTGTGAGGCCCAAAAGGGGCATTATCCCAGCTTTGCAGCCAGGGAAACCAAAGCCTGAAGAGGATAAGAGCTTCATTTTAGAGGTGCCAGGCCGTCGCCCACTGTGAGCCATGTGGGAGACCACAGGCGTTTGGAGAACTGGAGCTCCTGTCTCATTCAAGTGTTGTTCACCAGGAAAATGCTCATCTTGGAGAAGCACTGAGGGAGTTTGATAGAAGGGTCTGTGTCTGGGACTGGCACGGGCTGGGTGGGTTGCTGCTGTCTCGCCTCCCCAGTGGTACAGAGCAAAGGCGAGAGGGATGCTTGGAGGCTCCCAGCCCACGGGGATGGGAAGGAGGTGGGTGTTTTAGGAGGGAGCACCGGTTGTTTGACAGAGCTGAGACCACACAATGGCTGGTGGCTTCACGTGTGTCTCTGGAGAAGAGGGGGGTGATGAGATACATACCATTTGCATGCCTGCGCTCTGGCTTGATGTGGTCTTGCCGAGCGAATCAAAGCTTTTGCTTTGAAGGCAGCAGAGGGGGAAGGGGCTGTCTTTGTTCTGCTCTTTGGAGAGCGCTGGAAATCCTTCAGCCCAGAAGACTACACCCTTCATTACCCTCTGAGTTATTGGCCCCAGATTGGAAGTATGGCTCTGTCATGTGAAGTATTTGATTATTTATACAGTTAATGTGTAACAGAGTTGGAGTATTAGAATTCAACAGGGACGAGCTTCCAACTTTGCATGGTTCAGGACTAATAAAACTTCTCTGACCCAGCGTTGTCCTTTCACCGGAGGGGATTTTTTTCATTAGCTTTGGAGTGTTAAAAAGAGATCTGCTGTATCTGAGGCACGTTGATCTGTTGGCTTCAGACAAAGCGAACGTGCAAAAGTGTCAGCTTGAATATCCAATTGGCACAGATGCAGGCGGACAAAAATTACATGGTGAGTTTAATTGGTGTCTTCAATGGCAGTAGCTGGGATCAGCAGAAACTGCCTTGGAGACTGGGTGATACCCACAGCCTGTTCTGGATGAGGAGGAGCAGAATGCAGGCTGGGCAAATGATGGACTGGAAAGTGAAGGGTAGGAAGAGGCTGGGCTGCCCAGCACTGGCTTTGCTGTTTGCACCAGCCTCCACTGTGCTGTTTCGGCTGTCAACTCACTGTAGGAGAGCCTGGAAATGTCAGTGGTGACCCTTTGGTCACTGCATCTTCCAAGAGTCTTGAGCTGGGGTAGCATTTCCCTAGTGTTAGGCATGGGAGTTACAAAGGTGTGCCTAGGGCAGACCCTGCAGCTGCAGGAGAAGGGGACAGCAGTTGAGACTGGCTGAGCTTAACAGAGCCTGTGATGGGACTGATGTAGCAATGGGTTTGGTTTTCATTTCCTTTTAGTTTAGTTTACTCAGACTTACGGGTCTGGTGGTGTCTCCCCCAGACACACTTCAGGCCCATTGCCACATCCACCAGCATCTCTTGGTGGCACAGAACTCTCAAACCTACACATACTAGCAGATGATGAGAATGCTAGCATGGGTTTTCATACCTTTGTTAAGGAAAAGGCTGATGAATGAGGGCTTTGCAGCATCCTAGAAGTCCTGCAGGGTGGAGTTGTTGCCACTGCCCTGGAGGTTTCCTCAGTGCTGTTATTTAGTGTTGCTCACTTAAAAATCAGGTTGATTTTCAGTAAACCACCAGGACTGAAGCCGTGACTGTGAGCTCGCCACTTGTATTGTAGGTGTCCTGATTATCTCCTGATTTCCTACAAACAGAGTAGCACTGGAACAGGTTGCTCAAGGAAGCTGTGGCTGCCCCATCCCTGGCAGTGTTCAAGGCCAGGTTGGACGGGGCTTGAAGCAACCTGGTCTAGCAGAAGGTGTCCCTGCTGATGGCAGGGGTTTGGAACCAGATGATCTTAAGGTCCCTTCCAACCCAAACCATTCTATGATTCTCTGTAATTTACTTCTACTTCAGCCTAGTGTGGTGATGCAACTGATAACTTGCATTGTGCTGGTGACAGCCATTTTTAATCCTCTCCTATGACTGGAGGAACAATGGGAGATGTATGCAATATGAAAGCAAGGCTGTTGGAGTGGCTGTTGCATGAGTGGAAGATCCAACAAATGCCAGGGTGCCTTTGCAGAAGTACATCGTGAGTGTGATGGGAGCTCTCCTTCTCATCATACTTCCAGCCACTTCTCCTCACTGTAGATGATGCAGGAAATTGTACTGCAGAGTTTCACACCTCCAGTTATACCTTCAAGCATCACCTGCTTGTTGGCTGGATGGATCGAGACTCTGCTTTCAGCTCTCCTGAGAAGTGTCGGTCCCTCTATCTATGATGAGTTTGTCTCTAGGTTTAATGCAGTTGTTTCTCTGAACAGGGAACTGAATTGATTTTGGAAGAATACAATATCTCTGCAAGATATCGGGGTCATGATCCCTGACAGCAGCCTGTAGACAGATGTGTTCATCACTAAGATGCACTTGGCTTTTATTTCAAGATTACTAGTTTTATTTACACGTCACCTGCTAGGTCCCAAATTTGGTGCTTCTTCCCCTCAAAAATGGCTGAGCCCTCAACCTGCCTGTGGGATTTACATCTCCTGCAGAGGAAACCCACAGTGTGAAATTGGCTCCTAGGGGGAACAGCAAGTGGAAAGTGTAATCCAATGTAGAAGTATTTATTTCTTTAAAGACAAGTGGCAACCTCCTGCCCCTCCGCTGCCCCGTGTGCTCCTTTTCCAGTTCAGATTTTAATAAATTTCTTGTTTATCTTGAGGAAACAAATCAATAAGTAATGGCAATTGCTCTTTAGAGCAAGAGGCTGCTAAAGGTTGCAGTTGTTTTAATGGGGAGTGTGTGGTGTTGTTGCAGGGACTGTTCACTGTTGAGGCAGGCACGTCCATATCAGAGCCAGTAAAATATGACCGTTCCCTGTGAGCACATGCATTGGGTGTAAAGTCTTGCAAACAGGTATCCAAGCAAGGGCTGTGGGGGGAAATAAGCTGGTCTTGCTGGGAGCTTAGCGGTTCCTATCTCCTTTAGCTCTGGGTAAGTCTGAAACCCAGCACAACTGGACAGACACATCTTCCCTGGGCAATCTCCACATTGCTTTTCCAGAGCAGCATTGCCATTGAATGTGTGGCAGGTCTTTTTTATATGCCAGAAGCTTCTTCCTTCAGACCCTCGTCCAAGGTAGTGCTGTGTTCAGTTTGGAGGTGGCCTGGCCCTGAGCATCGTACATACCCCTTCTGTGGGAATGTGGAGATGATGGCGGAGCTGGCTCTGTGTGCATCAGGGTGATGCTAGCACCAGCGAACAACTAAACTTAAGCTGTGAGCCATGAGAAGAACAGTCGGATCTGCTTAAAACAGTAGAGCTTTGGGAAGAAAACTGAGTTTTGTTTCTGCACCTTTCTGTGTGGTTTACAACTCGTCCTTGCATCTTCTTGAAGTGCCTGTGATAGTGACTCTACAGCTTGGGGCTTTTCCACCACAAGTGGTTTGATGGATGTTGTTCATCATCATGCACTGTGGGTCAGCATCCTGGTGGGAGCTTGCAGGAGTCCAACAGATGCTGAGATGTCAGCTCCTGAGGGAGAAAATGGCCTCTTCTATTTCCTGGCTGTTCCTCATCTGCAGACCTTGAGTGTGAGGGTACTTGATGCCTGGAGGTTTCCTACCTGGGGAGGCAGTGACAGAGGTGTGAGCTCCTTGCATCCCTTGTTCAGTGCTTCCCAGCCAACTGCCCCACAGCACTCACATCTGCTGCCAGCCCCCGCTGCCTTGGTTTCCTGGCTAGGTGAAGAGGGACCCTGCTCCTCACTCAGTACAGGGAGGGGAAGGCAGTGGGTGCCACTCCTGGGGAAGATTCTCAGCTGGAATCTGGGAGGGAGACCCCCTCCCCAAAGCCAGGACATGTCACCCACAGTGTGCAGCTGCTCTCCGTTTTCCAGAGCCATCTGTGGACCCTCTTTGAAGGGGCAAGGGAAGATTTCCTCCCACTTCTTTCCAGTCTCCAAGTAGGAACACTGTGTAATACTTGGGTTATGAGCTAATTAGGGCAATTCTTAAAACCCTTTGCTGAGATTGTGGGTTAAAACCACTCTCTCTCAAATTACCAGCTTCCCTTTTCAAAGGGAAGAGAGGAGTCAACTTCCCAGTCCTCATCTGGTTTTGCTTTGTTTCTGACCCGTTATGCTGAGCTCACTGCATTTTTGGTTGCTTCCAATTCCAAACAGAGATAAATCTGCTGATAACCCTTGGGTGTGTGTGGAGTCCACTGCCAAGGAGCCCTGCCTGGCTTGTTCCAAAAGGAGCCAGGCAAACCAGGAGCTGCAGGGGTGGGATTTCACTCCAGTGAGGCTTTCAAGTTGTATTTCAGCCAGCCAGCAGATAGTTAGCTGGGATGTTGCAACCTCTTCCTCTTCCTCCTTTTCTTCTTTTTCCTCCTCGTCCTCCTTTTCCTTCTCCTCCTTTTCCTTTTCCTTCTCCTCCTTTTCTTCCTTTTCCCTTTCCTCCTTTTCTTTTTCTTTTCCCTCCCTTTCCCCTTTCTCCTTTCACCTTTCCCCTTCATTACTGACATAGGTCTGTGGTTAGAGGAGCTGGAGATTCTCTATCCACCACCAGAACATTATGCCACATAATGGGAGAAAACTGCCGCTGAATGTCTTACGTCACAGTTTTCCCCTTTCCCTTCAGTCCTGTGTATTTAGTGTTAACTGCACAATATAGGTTTCCGTTTGTTTTAATTGTGATGAATTCCAGGGAGAAGGAATGGATCGCTCCCTTGTTTTTCTTTCTACTGTAGCCACAGCCATCCCGATGACAGATCTTGTCATTGCGCAGTGTCATTTTAGATGTTTGCGCTGCACCAAAAGCAAACGGAGGAGCCTGCAGTCTAGGCTGCGGGTTGAATAACAATGTTTTCCCAGAACAGAAAAATCTGTGAAGTTTTTAATCAGAAACAGGAGTTTCACAGAGGCGGCCCAAGCACTGCTCCCAACACAGCAGAGCGATGGCTCATGTCTCCCTGGGTGTCAGCTTTTGTGGCCCTTCGTGTTTCTGACAGCAGCAAAGCCGTGGTGGAGTCATCTTGAGCTTGAAAAGCAGGAGGGGTTGTGTTTTCTCCTATGTGGTAGATCCACTGGGACAGCTTTCCAGTTGCAGACTCCTCACTACAGCAGAGGTTGGTGATGCGTGGCTAGGAGATAGTGGGGACAATGCATGTCTGGAAGAAGAAAAGGTGGTGCTGAGGGGCTTAAAATCACTGTGCGGGAATCTGCTTCTCATGAAATGCCTGCGTGCTAAAGATGGTGAAAACTGCTGATGCAGGAGAGCGCAGCATCTTTGTCAGGCATCTGTCTCCCAACCGCCTTCCTTTCAAGCAAGGAAGGCTGCTGGGGAAGTCTGTGCTCCGCAGACCTCCTGCTGCCTTCCTGACTTCTCAGAAGGGTCATGTGAAAACTAATGTGATCAAAAGGGGGGTTTAAGTGTTACTTAAAGCGTGACGACTGTTCTGCAGAGGGTTTTCGTCATGCAGAGCTGGGTGATCGGCTGCTCGTCAGCTGTGACCTCAAGTTTGCTGAGGGGTCTCACCAGAGAGCACATACTGGCAACTGAGAACTTGTATGGGGTTGCCTCGCTTAGGTTGGTCTTGCCCCTGTTTGATTTACCCTATAGTGCCTGAATGTGCTGCCTTGCTTGCCTTTGAAGTGTGTTGAGCTTCGTGGCTGGTGGTGATGGTGTTATTGAGGATCCCTTTTGTGATGCCATTTG